TATATTTAAATAATCCTATCATAATTATATATTAATCATAATAAAGTCATATATTTAAATTTTGATTAGAAAAAATTAATTAACATAATGTCTGAATATAACTCTAATTTCGTCCAAGATAATTATTTCATATTTTGGGAGATTTAGGCAGAATTCACACCTTGACAGAAAAATAGAAAGCAGAAATGCAGAAAACAATCAGAACTCGCGCTAATAGTAATAATGCTATCAGAGCGAGTAAGCATACTATCAGATCAAATTTTGATTGGTTTCTGCTCTTCTACTTTTTGCTTTTCTGTGAAAGTGTGAATTCATCCTTTATATTCACCACTTTTTTATATATTTTTCCTCCTTAAACTTCACTTTTAATTCTTGTAGAGCCCCTTCATCTTTTAATAGAAAATTATATAGTTTTTTACTTCTTTGAGGCTTTGAGGATGAGTATTTTGTTTTGAAAAGGACTCAATTCTTTTTAAAATTTTCTCTTGTCCTTCTATTAGAGTTTTCACTTGCAAATCCAAAGAAATTAATTCCGAGTAATGAATCGGTAATAATTTTCTGTAATGTGTAGAAAATGTGAAATTTTAATATTAACTTTATACATTAAACATACAGGGTCCATTATAAAAGTAATGCGCATTTTCTGGGAAAAATAGATTTATTGATCGTAGCGGTACAAATGCTCAAAATTCTTCAAAATACTCTCTCCCTGAATCAATACACTTGCGGAGACGTGTCTGCCACGCCTGGAAGGCACGCTGAAACTCCTCGACGGGAATGTCTCTTAGGAACGTTGTAACATGCTTTTGGATGTTTTCCACGGACTCCCAATGCTTTCCTTTCAGCTCTCTCTTCAGATGGGGAAACAAAAAAAAGTCGCACGGAGCCAAGTCGGGATTGTAAGGAGGTTAGGGGACCACCGGGGTGTTGCTCCGGGCCAGGTAGTTGGCAACGATGAAGGCCGTGTGGCTGGGGGCATTGTCATGGTGGAGCTTGATCACATCTTTGATGTCAGCCCTCACGCGCGCGACCCGGCGTTTCAATCTCTTGAGCATCTCCAGGTAGAAGGCTGAGTTGACAGTTTCTCCCTGCGGTACAAACTCAAAATGGACGATTCCTCGGACGTCAAAAAAGACAATGAGCAGCGTTTTGATGCGAGACTTGCTCATTCGCGCTTTCTTGGGGCGGGGGGATGATTTCGAGTGCCACTCGCTGCTCTACCTTTTCGATTCTGGGTCGTACTCGAACATCCAAGATTCGTCTCCGGTTACGACAGAGTTAAGAAAGTCCGGCTCATTTTGAATCAAATCCAACAATTCTTGACAGCGCGAAACTCGAAGTTCTTTCTGGTCTTCCGTCAACACTTTCGGCACAAGCTTCGCGCAGACCTTGCGCATTTGCAGATTCTCCGTCACTATCCCATGTACCGCAAATATGGACAAGTTTAGGGTGTCAGCGATGTACTGGATGCTCAATCAACGGTCGGAACGCAAAACTTTGCACACACGATTCACGTTTTCGTCGGTTCTGGCCGTTGTTGGGTGTCCATAACGGGGTTCGGCGCCGCACCTCGCAACACCTTGTGCCACCTCCCGGACTGTGACCTTGAAATGCAGTCGTCCTTGAAGGCCTCTTGAAGCATCTGGAATGTTTCGGTTGCATTCTTTCCAAGTCGCACACAAAACTTGATGGCGTATCGCTGTTCAAGCGAACGCTCCATCGCGCCATGTTACAAAGTCGAAAAACACACTTCACGCGGAGGCACGTTTTTCCACTCAGACTGCTCGAAGCAAACTGACGACCGGCTGCCTTGGAAGGGCAGACCCCCCACCACATTTCCCGACCCATTTTACCCCGCTACGATGGATATTCGCGTCACAATAAAATCATGCGCATTACTTTCATAATGGACCCTGTATGATAAAGGTACAGAAAAAATTCATTATACTTTCTTACTGCTCTTTTTAACAACTTTTATCAATCTCACCATTTGTTGAAAAACTGATTGGCGTATCCAAAAATTCATTCAGATGAAAATTTGTTCCTTCGTTTTTTAACTTCACATAACCGCGATGGAATAGTTGTTCGGATAAACACATAAAATTTATTACATTAAATAAAGTTCCTACAGATCGAATGTGTGAATATAATATAAATATACAAATTAATAGAAACAATGCCTTTTTTCAATCACAGCTAAATCTTCGTATTTGAATGTTTTGTGTAATTTTATATACATTTTCAAATTCTCCAAACTGTGTGCTAAAATGATTTTTCGGTCTTGAAATACAGCTCTTAAAGATGAATAAGAATAATAATACTATGATATTAAATTGCTAATCAATTTAATAAAGCATCTATATCCTTTTTCCTTCTTAATACTGTGAAGAATTTATTGCGAAAAATATCATCTCAGTCAAGATTTGAAAGTTATCCCTACATTCCATGGGGATGTCTTGTCAATTCGAAGCTTCAGGTTCAAACTCTGGCTGATATTTTTCGCAATAAATTCTTTACAATATTGAGAAGGGAAAGGAATATAGATGCTCTATTAAATTGATTAATAGTAATTAAATATCGAAATATTACTATCGTTATTCATTCTTAATTGCTGCGTTTCAAGACTAAAAAATCATTTTGGCATGCAGTTTGGAGAATTTGAAAAGATTGTGTTGATGGTCAACACATCTAGTGACAAAAACCGCGGATACTTTTTAGATGACCAAATATATATAAAATCATACAAAACATTCAAACACAAAGATCTAACTATGAAAGAAAGACTTAACTTTCGAAGGAAAAGGACTGTTTCTATTAAATTATTAAGTTATTAAATTAGAAACTGTTCATTACATACTTCATAGTTATTCCATTTTTATGGATGTTATAAAAATAAAAGAAACTTAAAAACGTGATTTATGGTTTTAAAATTTGGAATATTTGGAAATACAAAAATATGTATTTTAATGAATCAAATGCGACCATTTTAAATATTTGAAGTACTTATACAAAAAAATTGAAATTTTTCTCTTAATTTTTTAAAATAATGTAATTTATAATAACAAATAAAGTAAATAAACTTCAAAAATGTGTTATTAAATAGAAATGTAATGTTATTCACATCTTTTCATGTGTACATAATTTATTTAATATGTATCTATTTATATATTTTCAATTTCAATTTACTTTGTACGGGCTATACTATCAATACATTCTTAATAATCTTTATAATTTGGTATACTAATTTTTTTCTGTGCTGATCGGTACTAGATTTCTTCTGATTCAATGATTCAATAAGTTTCTCATCTTCTGAAAAGATTTCATAGGAACCGCTCACCTCAGAATCGGATTTTGATGTACTTGGCGTTATTCGCAACCTTCTCCACTGGAATTCGAAGTAATTAATTATCAAACACAATACACAGATAATGAATTTATGTAAAGATTCCTTTCTTAAGATATTACCTACTTCTACAAGTTTTCTCCATTAGCACTTTTTGCCATTTCACTATCCTTTTGAAGACAACTTAGTACTAGATGTATGCTGTGTTTTCCTTACCCAGTTTAAAATAAGCTACTCCATTTCCTGAAATAATTGTTCGGGAAAACATGAACAAAAATTCTTCTAATATTTACTATATAAGATATTTCAGATCACTCATCCTTTGATTCTATTTCATCAAAAAAGGTGGGACGATCGCCTGAAAACCTTGCAAATTATGAAAAAAATTTGACGAACCTTTTAAGTGAGTGATTACTGTCTAATTAAAACAAAAAATTTGTTACTTCTTTAGAATAAATTCAAAATATTTCTTTGAATAAGAAATTCTTTTGCCGTTTCTTTTGTCACGTTTGGTACAATATATCTACTTTCATTATCGCAAATCTAACAACTTGTACCTTTTATTATTATTACAATTATCTTTCTTTATTTCATTAGTTCTTATATGTTTTGTGAAACTCCTTTCCAGACATTTAGGAAATTACGGAACTTTTATTCCTTCGTCTTCTCATTCGTTGTTACTTTCAACATATTTGGTCCTTGTTTTCCTCGTACGTTTTAAAATTTCGTCTGTCAAAAGGTATATCTGAAGGTATATCTGAGAAAATTTCAGATCTTTCAGCTTCTGCCAAACTTTCTCATATGATGCTGAAAATCATTAAAATAAAATCATTAAAATAAAATAATATATATTTAAATATATACAGATATCATGTGACTCAATCTTGCGAGCAAAGATGGACAAAATTGTAATTGACTGAGATTATTAATGTGTTTGGCAGTCAACGTATTAAAAATTACTATTTACATTTGTTTATATTACAAGAAAATTTTGTAATTTATTATCAACTTATTAACATTAATATTTGTATTTGAAACGGAAATAATTTGATACATTATTTATTCAATTAAAATGTAATTGATTTCCATCAATTACTTATTAAAAATATAATTTTTAATTAGACGGTCATAAATGACATGTTAAGAAAATAACTGGTAATTAGCGAAACTAAATCGATGCTGATCATCTCTGCTTGCGAGTATTTGAATCATGTTGTAGGTATTGCAAAGTTTAGAACGTTCAGACTTTATAGATTTTTTTTAATTATTGGATTCTTTAAGTTGTTCAGTTCGTATTGTATATTACATCTTGATCAAGTTTTGGTCAAATATGACCAAACCTTATTTCTTATTCATTTATTGATTTTTATTCATTTTATGACTCGTATCACTTAAAATATTTAATGACGTATTTCTTAAATGTGAAAATTTTGTTACAATATTCTAAACTTCGTATAAAAATAGCTTACACATACTTCCTAAAATTTTCTGTAGAAGATATTCAAGCCGTGAAGATACTCTTGCCACTCTTCCATTTCTTTAACTGCTTTATCAAATCGTTTTTGTGAAGGGAACGATGACCAATGAATTTTTTGTTACGGCATTGATTCACGATTTAGGAACTATTTGTATGCCGTCGTCAAACTCGACAATGATGTATGCTTGTAAATTATCTCCTGTTACAAAATATTTTTTATAATTTAATTTGTATGCAATAACGGCAATACTGCTAATTTGTTTAAAACAGGCAATTTCACATATTTTTTTTACAACACTTGTCAATGGCCACACTTCCAGATCCGACAATTTATGAACTAAGAAGACACCGATATTTGAAGAATCACATGGTACAGAAAAAAGATTTTCCTTTTTCAAAAACTTGTTACCAATAATTATCGAAATTTGTCGCTTTGGACAGTAAGCAATATTTTGCAACAAGACAATATTTCCATTGCTGAAACCACAACAATTATCAGCACAAGAACCAGCGTGTAATAAAATTCCGTAGTCGCTGATGTTACTTTGTATTGTGGATCAGTATAATCAATTATAAGACCATCAGTGTGTGCAGGATTTGATGTACGGACAAAATTCGGTAATTATCGATAGTGATCTTAATATTGATTTTTTTCCATTTCAGTACATCTACGTATGATTTGCTGCAGCAATTAGTTTGGTTTTCTTAGCATTTTTTTTTTGAACGTTTGCATATAGTTTTCATATATGTACTAAAATGCTGAATAGGGCCATATTTCTTTACAAAGAAAATGAGATGCATAGCTTGGTGAACATTTGCTGATACATTACGAGCTTCGTACAGTAATGCAAATGATGAAATAAAATGTTCCAAGAGTTCTTGTACATAATTTAATAATTCGGCATTCTGTGTCGCTCATTATCCTTACTGCCACATGCAAAGTCAAAAAATGATTATAGATATCTCTGCGCAATGATCGTAATATCACTGGCTCTGTATATAGAAAAATTTGTCTAAATTCAGTGGCTTTCCACAGCTTAATAAATTTCAGCGATTCATCTTGGTTTTCTTACAAAATCAATTGAAATATACGATTTGACCTCATCTGTCAATCCGCTCTACTTCTATATGCGAAAGCTGATATTTTAAATCATCGTTTAACAACAGATTTAGCATTCTAGGCATAATACCTAAATCTAATAAATGCATGGGGTCAGTTGGAACGTTCGTGACGAGACTAAAACCAAGAATTTCTACTAAACAACTAGTAACTCCCTCCCTCAGTCATGATATTCTTCATCAATTTTATTCCGAAAATCGTCGTCGATTTTGTAGGAGCATGGATTTGTGGAAAACAAACTCGTCCGATAATTAAATTCTTCGACAGTGCAAGCAGGACAGCTGGAATACCCCGACATGTCCGCTAAATCATTTGTACTATGCCTTTTCATACATAGTACAAATGATTTAGCGGACATGTCACAAATTAAGGAATCGGTGGTACATTGTATACGAATATCATTCACAAGTATTCCTTCCGAGCAATTGTTTCGCTTCAATCATGAAGTCTTGTAAAAAATCATTGACATTTATAAATTTTTTCTCCTCAATACGTCTCTCCCAATTACAAATACGTTTTTGTACGGCTTTATTGATCCCAATATGGGCCACAACTGTTTTAGCGATGATTTGGATAATGGCAGACCATCGATATTGATTGATATTTTGACGCCTTCCGGAACAGTCAACATACGCTTTATAATAGATTCGATTCCCTTTGACAGGCCCAAGTGGAAATATTTTCCGGGAGAAACAATTCTTATTTCTGTAGTTCTCGGAGTACGTAATAATGACCGGCGGATTCAAGGGCAGATTTGCATGAACAGAGTATTGTTTCAATTTTCGCAGCAATAATCGCAACGCTATGTGTGATATGTTATACTGAACAGACCAATTAGAAAGAAATTCTTTCAAATTCTCTTCTTTAAGATTATCGTTATCACTATCAGACTTGTCTGTTATATCTTGTGCACTTTGATCGTTTTGCGCATATATTTCAAAATCGTCATCAATCGATATCCCTTCTAGCTCCCGTTCTTCCTCTTGAAAATTCTGCTCTGCTTCTTTCTCTATTTGCTGCTCTTCAATCCCTTGACAATCATCCACTTCCATACTAAATAAATTTTGTACGAGTACTTCTAGCCGCTCATTGTTTGCTGCAGCAGAACTAATTTGTGATACATTCCGCAGAGGCGATTCGAAAACTGCATCCACTATTGCGTCAGCGCCTTGTTTCACAAGTCTGCGGATGTGTTGCTTGGAAATATCCAAAATGCTTTTCCGTATTTTATCTATTCGATTTTATTGTAGTATAATTAAATGGGAATTCTATTACATACGCTAGACTATAATAGTACTAGTAGTTATTATTTAGAATGACAATGATAAAAATGACAATTATATATCTGATCATTATGAGAACAGTCCAAGGAGAACAAGAAAATTAAAATAATGTTAATTTGACATTATATTGACAAATTTATATTATTTTTTTGGTAATAGTGAAAATCTCGATCTCAGATGATCTAAGAATGACTTTATATATAAATAACTTCATACAGGGTGATCCGAAACTCCCGCATTCGGAGTATAAAGTCATTCTTAGATCATCTGATCGAGATTTTTATCAAAAAATGACAGAAATTCGTCAATATGACATCAAATTGACATTATTTTGATCTGTTTGTTCTCCTTGGAAGTGATTCCTGTTTTTCTATAAAGATATATTCTCTTCTACAATATATAACCATTTACTGAAATAACAAATACAATTCTTACGAATATAAATATTATACAAAGTATTTCAAAAGAACCATTCAGCTTTTATATAGTAGATAATACACACCATATTGACAATGAGTAAAAAGACCTTAGTGAAAATAGATTGAAAATTGAATCGTTTCTGAGATATAAATGTTTTTGTTTATGTTAGCCTCATGAATGACTTTGGCTTCTACGTGTCGTATGCGATGTTTATCTTAATGTGTTCTTAATTAGAGTAATACACTGATATTTTTAGCACGACCTTATAACCTATGTACTCACCAAATAAGATCAACAATCACTGGTTGATGACATCTAACTCATTACCGATGAAATCTTTTATTATAAAGTATGTATGGAAATTGAATGAATACATACAAAACACGGTTTTTAAACATTGAGTAAACATCGCATAGGATACGAAAAGTCATGATGCCCTATGTAACCAAAATTAATATATTAATATTAATTTAATTTAATGAAAACAATTTTTCATTCAAAACATAAATTTATATTAAATAATATAAATATTGTACTGTGAAAAGTAAAGTAATTCTATACAATAAAAATAAAAAATATAATATAATTTAAAAAATATTTATAAAAAATATAATATAATTTAAAATTAAAATTAATATGTTTTTGATATTACACATTACATTACCTTTAAATTTAACTAATTAAATTAAATTGAAGTATTTGATTCTGAAATTAATGGAATTCAATGTTAAATTATTAAATAAATAACAATCATTAATACAATTTGACTAATTTTTATAATTAAAAAAACTTCCATGTTGAGTTTTTTTATATAAATATATAAAAATGTTTAAAAAAACTTTCAAATTAACAGGAAAGAAAGCGAATTTGATAAATTTATTAAATGGCTGCGTTCAGCGGACTTAACAGTTGAATGAGCACTCACTGTTATTGATGTATTCTTTTAGATTATTCAATCAGCATTTTAGATCTGGAAAAGTACATTTTATTCCAATTATTGATCATTATTTATTCCAATTATTGATCATAATAAGTACACTTAATAATTTACGCAAAGTTAAATAATTTTAGCAACCCGCGTAAATTGGATCATTGGATTAGGCCTTTTTGTCAATTTTTTTTATAGGTAAATTGGCTGTATAAATTGCACCTGAAAGAATAATAAAAATTAAAGTCAATATGATAAGTATTGAATAAAGTCATTGCATTTCTTTATTTTATTAAACAAATTATCATTTATCTTAAAAAATTAATTGATAGTGTAGATATATTAATAAAATTCATATTTTTATCCTTCGTATAAATATTAGGTGTACAAATAAGTTCCGCCGTTTGACAAAAGACGGCGCCACTAGCAAGCTATGGTTAAAATTGTCTGATGTAAAACATTATATCGTAAGGTTGGACATCTGTCAACAATATAATCTTGAAATACTAGTGATTTTGTATCAGCATCATATATTTTTTTTTGTGCGAAAATGCCGAGTAAGCGTCATTTGCGGGAACTTTTGATTTACTTCTTTAATTTGAAGAAATCTGCAGCTGAGGCTCATCGATTGCTTGTAGAAGCATATGGTGAGGCTGCCTTAAGTGAGAGAAGTTGTCGTGAATGATTTCAAAAATTTAAGAACGGTGAATTTGACGTCGAAGACAAAGAATGTAGCGGAAGGCCGAAAGTGTACGAAGACGCGGAATTGGAAGCATTATTGAATGAAGATTCGTGCCAAACGCAAAAAGTAGTGGCTAGCGATAGACAATACTTTCAATAAAACGTTATGTATCGTTCTTTCACAATAAATGCTTAATTTTTGATTAAAAATAGCGGAAACTTATTTGTACACCTAATATTAATATCTCTTTATTAAATAAGAAAACATTGAGAAGGGCTACGAGCCAAATAAAGAACTTTAATAAATAACTTACATTATAAATGTTACATATATAAATATCGAAAATCGCAGTTCAACACAATGACAAATTAACAGATTGTATGTGAAATTCAGTGATAAAATCAGTTAACATTAAAAAGTTGAAACGACTTGTAAGAGATTCGGCATTTGTGACATTGATAATGATTCGATAAGAATCGAAACGTTTGTTTAATAATGTAAGTTATTTATTAAAGTTGTTTATTTGACTCGTAGCCCTTTTCAATATTTTCTTATTTAATTTTTAATTGGAGCCATATTAAATTATGTATTTCTTTATCATTAAATAAAAATTTTGAACTTTTTCAAATTCATTTCACAAGTAAAATATATTAAATATTGTTGATTAACACAATCCATGATTCGATATTAAATTTATATTTTTTCCTTTACATCTCCATGTAATGATATTAATCCTTCATATTATTGATACATGAACTGAGTATGCAACTAATTCTTTTAAAATCATTTTATATTGAATATATACACTATTTTTATTTAAAAAATTTCTTATAACAATTATTATAACAAAATAATTATAATAATACTCTCTGAAATATTAATATTAATTTTAAATAAATAATTTTGTATCTTCCTAATTTAAATTTAATTCAGGACGCAATTCAAATACTTATTTATTTTTCTACAAATCATTTATATTCTTTGAAATGTGAAAAATATATTGGAAACTTAATTATAAATACTGAATTTATTATAAAAAATATCGTATCATTAATATCATAAATGTAAATATAATTACTTAATATAAAATTAAATAATTTTAAAATAAAAATATTTTATTAAAATAGAAATTATTATAGTAATTTAGTAATTTAGGTAATGCTAACATTGTACATAATATTAAACAAATAAAATGTAACTACTTTAAAATAATTATAAAAAAAAAACAAATAAGAACGAAATAGAAATTTTTTTCTGATGAAGACGATAAAATAGCGATTATAGCTTCGATTGCCATAAGTACATGTTTGTGCTTTTATTGGGTCATCTAAAAACCGCGGATACTTTTTAGATAACCCAATACTTGTTTCTTCTATTTTATATTATAAATGATAGTCATTACTGTCATACAAGTTGGCCGTTAGCCAGTTTCACTGATTCAGCAATAAATTAAGCTAATTTCAATGAGTTAATATATAGTCCTAAGTCTTATCGGTGAATCGGTGAAGTTGGTCAACAGTCGTGAAAGAAATGTTGTAGGCATGGTGGTTTCTTCCACTATGCCAACAATCTTGACTAAATATTATCGATCTTCTTAAGACTGACAAAATTCGATTTTATTGTTTATTTCTTCTCATTAGTCGAGCTAATAAATAAATTCGTTCACATACGTACACATATGGCTGTAATACTAAAGATTATGCAAATAGAAGACTTATCATACTTACTCTGTGTGACGTTATTTCTAATAAAGTATATTATTCCGCTTCACAGATAAACTATATTCACTACGATATAACTTTCGCCAAAGTTTATCAATAATTCATTGGAGAAAAACGATCCATGTGTCATAGGATTAAGCAATAAAGCATTGAGAGACGGGAAAATAATAGACACTCATCGCGCGCCAAACTGCCAACATTGGGCGCATTCAGCGGATTCAACAGTTGAGTGAGCACTCACTTATTGGTTTATTCTTTTAGCTCCAATCAAAATTTTATATCTAGAAAAATACATCAATAGCAGTGAGCACTCACTCAACTGTTGAGTAGAGAGTCTATAATCAGAGTGGCGCCATACGAGAGATGACGCCATGTTTTAGCGAAATTCTGCGAGAGAGAAAGAGATATACGGTCTCAGTCTACCTAACAGACTGTTTTAAAGTTAGGTGCAACAGCATTGAACGACATAGATACATAAAGGTACATTGATAAAAATAGTTATCGAAATTATTTTAGAAATATAATTGGATGTACAATACCATTTTGTATCAATTCATTAAAAAAAGGATATGTTATGAAAATAATTCCGAAAGACACAAAACACCGAATGAATTGGTTAAAAAGTATAAATGGCAAATATAAAAATTGGACACCGTCAAAAAATTCATCTGTATGTAAGGTAAAGTAATTTATTCTTTATAAATAATGTATTTAAAATATTAAAATAAAAATAAGATAGGAAACGAGACTGTTTATGTTAAATAACATTACTTTTAAATACGAAGCGCCACTACGGTCTGAATGTTGAGTTGTTGAACTAATATATATATTTTCAAATAAATGAATTAATGAATTAATTTCAGAAATGATAATTATATATCATTGCATTGTGAGTCTAAATCAAATAATATGATAATTACGATATTTAATATATAATATTTTATAAAATGGTATATACATATGTAATATTTTTCTGAATTTTTGATTTCTTTTATATTATTACAGATGCATTTTGTTCCTAAAATATGAACAAAGAAAGGATAATAAAAAGAAATTAAAACCAAATGCCAACAATTTTTGGATACTTTGTAAAGAAGAAAGTACCTTTTAATAATCAAAATTTTGATGTAGTTGTGGATAAACGTAATTTATTTCTGACGATTGCAAAGAAGATCAAATTATAGTAAATGATGAACAGGTAAAATCAATGATAAAAGTGATAAAAATTAATGAAAGAAGTATATATATTTATAAACATTTATAATAAATATACCTTTTAGATAACTATAAATGAAACCGTTGAAGTTAATGCATCAATAATCAATTCTAATACA